TTTAGTAACATAAATATATATATATATAATTTCAATACACCATTCTGAAGTTTATCCACATTTAAGTGTATCTAAATTATTATTATGTAATACATATTTATGAGAAAAGGAGTAAATATATTGCTTTTTTAATATTTTTCATATATATATATATATATATATATGTGTGTGTGTGAAATTATATGATATTTTTGTAAGTTTCATTGTAATTTGATTTATTTTTATTTCTTTATTTCATTCATTTAGAAGAAAAACAGTGTTAGGAATTTAGGAATTATGTATATAATTACAATACATGTATTGTTTTTTTTATATATTTGTTATTTGCAGTTTAACAATAAAAGTCCGAGTCATGATTCTTTGTTCAAACAACATGAAAATCTCAATAGACTAGTACACGTGTCTAAGAGCATTAGAGGAGTAATAAAAATGCTGTTTTAGAAATGGTTATTGTGATCAGCAAGTATAGATCAGTAAATCTAAGTTTAGCTGAGTGCAGTAACATGTTTAGACATGAGTTAGATGGAATGCCTGAATTTAATCAAAATCAAACATTTAATCAGGTTATGGACAGATCTTGAAGGTGGAGTTTGGTTACTTTTAGATGACCTGTTGTTGTATAAAACACACTGAAATGTGATTAAATAAAGTTGACTACATGCTAGTACAAACTCTGACCTACATGTAATACAAATCTCTCCATTCTGGCTCAGACTTGCACATTCATGGCGCAGAGGAAGAGATCTACAGGGTGGAGGGACTTGCATGGCTGGTAATGCCGTGGAAATGTGACGCACACAACTGATTAATCTGATAATGGCACACCTGGCATGCCAAGGTGTGTTCTTCCTCTTCCCTCCATTTTTCTCATTCAAATGCCAACGTTCCCAAGGCCAAACGTCTTTAGCCATCTGCTTAACCAAGACCACACACTGCCATTCCATTTGGAGTGAGAATTCCCGTGATTTGCCACACTGTCCGCCATGTGCTGGGTAAGACAAGCAGTATTGAGTGCTCTGTGTGTGTGTTTCTAGTGACACATTACAGGGGAAAAAAAACACTGTTAGGTTAAGAGGCAATTAATCAGCAAACAAATGTATATTCAGAAAATGTTTTTCAAATATTATATTATAGTTGTTTAATTTAAAATGTTTTAAAAATGTGAAAAACTTGTCCAGTTTTCTTAGTGTTAGTGGAACATTGTTTTAAAGTAAGCATGATGTCCCCACAACAGTCTATCAACTTAATTTTAACAACTCAACATTCTAGAAACATAAATATGTCTAGTTTCCATAATTTTAATAAAACGTTATTTAATGGTTAGCATAACGTTCCTGCAACAGTCTTTCAACTTAATTTTAACTCAACAACTAGG